GCCATCCATCTTTTTGAAGTATTATTTACATAGACCTATTTATTTCCTTTTCTGGAGCATTGTCTATTTTGAATATGTACATGCCATGCATTTAACCTGCCTACCCCGAAAATAACTTAGTGTCATGGGTCCACTTTTTGCTCATACCTAAAGTGTGCAGGACTAGTGCGCAGTCGGTCAGTGATTCGCTACTGCTGGCCATGGTGTTAATATCTCTTAGTCTTTGTCATAATCACGATCCGGATTTTGATGCATTTTCGGCTAATAAATATTGCTTGACTAGCGTAATCTATTACTTTTCTTTAAATTTTAATGGCCAACGGAGCTTGCCCTTATACATGTAGAATAACTGGACAACGTTCACTACAGCTAACGGCTGCAGACATACGTATCAACGTTAACTAGAGGTCAGTAGACCTATGACTGGAGCCCAAGTTTCCCTGAGTCGAAACATTACAGACCAAGTCGAACAGGCCGAATCCACCGTCAGGGTTTCCTGTCGATTGGTTCGCTCGAAGTTTGGAATATAAATTATGTTTAGACCGAACTTCTCTCATCCAACTTTCGTAAAATGTTCACATGATTGCCCGTATTCTATGCCCGAGTCTGGAAACTTTGGTACCGTTGGTACCAAAGTGTGGCGTTCTGCAGTCCCATGTTTGGTTTAAACATCCCATACACTGATAATTATGTAGAAAGTTTTTGTTTTGAATCTGATTGACAGTAAATTTCGATTTAGTGGAAGGAATACCGAGGCACTGAGTTACATTCTTCAAAATGCCCCGATCGGTTCCAAGAATCAAGCACTCAAAGACGCAGCCCTTGCTTTGGCCCTGCGATCAATGTCCAGCCTTAAAAGTGCACAAATTGATGAGTTCGTTAGTGGGCTGAAGCAGGAACAACTTGATCTTCTGATGAAGTACATTTACAGAGGGTTTCAGTCCCCAAGGGACATCGCGCCTGCAGCTCTTCTTGCCTGGCACGAGAAAGTGAGTTTACCGCTAATTAGTTTTTCGATTTGGTTTCCCATGAATATAGCTATTTTCAGATTATGTCTGCAGTTTTTCGCATGGAACGCTGTCTACTCTTTAACTCCCATCGGCAACTTCGGTGTTAGTACCCCACGTAATGGGAGTCATTCAAGATAGTTTGCCGGTCTTTGCATCATATACTAAAACTAAAGTAATGTAGCGCGCTTATGTGTAGATTGCCCCAACGACACTCTATTCTTCATACCTACATACAGTAGTCGTCAGATGGATCGCTTTAACAGACTGCAATATTTACTGCAGAAATCAGTGCGGCCCGCAATTCGTGATTGTGGCCAGGTCGTCCACATTCATGGCCTTTTTAATACTTTGTATTCAAACAGCGGGCGTTTTGACGACTGCACTATCTCCTGATCTGTCTTTGCCATATCTGTCTGTTCGTTTTTGATAAGCGCCATTTCGGCAGTCACAAAAGCCTAGTTAAGATGGTGCCGCTTATGGGTACCACAGTATTTTCAAAAAAGTCGGTCTTTCATCCTCTGCATTCGGTGTTGATCACTGATTAACGTGAGGGCGTTTCGCAGTTTTCCTATTCTTTTGGCCGAATCTCTCCAGTGACACAGGCACTTCTGGAGGGGGTTGAACACGCTGTGGTGAACTGAAGTCCTCTGCCCTATTTACTCTTGACATCATACTTGCCTGTTCCTGTTGCAGTCGGGCTATAACTTATCTATCCGTCGTTTATATTCCGCCCGGTCACGAAATTGCAAAAATTAGGCAACATGCTCCAAGTTGCAGCAAGCATGGTGACATGCACTTTGTCCGGTTAGTTTTATAATATAATAACTACATGCTCGACAAGGCCAGGTATGACATAAATGGCGGGCTTTTGCAAGATTACTAAATCTTTGAAATTGAATTTCGATGGACGCTTAAAATGACACAACATTTCCACAATCGATAACCGATCAGCTGTAGTTGAATACGACAGTTCGACCGTCCTTGTCGACGATGCCCACATTGTGCTACGCACCAAGATGCAGCAGGTACGGTGACTTGCGCTTGAATTAGTTTATAGTGATAGCAGACATGCGAAGCGTCTACCGCACTCTCTTCCCTGCTCCCCCTGGTTCCGCTGACAAGACAGGGCCAAGAAGACCGGAGGCGGGGGAGGACACAGGTAGATGGCACGATCGAGCCCGCACCTTGGCGTTCCACTCCACCCCCCTCCTGCTCCACATAGCAAATGACCAAGTTTTTGACCACCAACAACAACAACACCCAGACAGGGGTCAGAAGGACGAGGATTATGACTGGGCGGCCATGCCCACCACCTGTTTAACCAGCGGGGGCGCAGGCGTATCTGACAGCATGGAACCAGGTGTCAGGTAACTGTCAGTGCATTCCAGGCTGCGAGGGCCATGGTTTGCTGATACTAATATAGTACGCGCTTCCAGACCCTTTGACCTAGAAGGGCGGCACGTGGCTTTACATTTAGTCTGGGCCGTCCGCCTTCAAGGCTGAGTAACCAAATATTCATCGACTGAGAAGCACTACCCATAACGCACACACAAACACAAACGCTCCTCAGATGCATGAGAGTGTCACATCTTTCTTGAGAAAGGGCCGTGACATCCTGGATCTCAGTCCACCAGTCTGCCAATCCACACAACGCACAAAACTGGGCAGACTGCGTGGGCTGATTTGGGGCGTCAATAGGCTGCATTTCGAGCCACGGCGCTCGACGCACCGTCTTCGTCTGAGATTCCGATTGCGCATGCAGCAAGGGAGCCGCATGGAGAAGGAGGCCGAGACGAACGCTTCCCGCTTGCGTGGGAGGTTGCACTTGGGTGCTTGCGATGGATGATGTTGGTGTGCGGTGAGATGCTAGTAATGGAGGATGTGATGGTGTGGTGCTGCCAGCGGTTGTCTACCACAGGTTTTCATGGACGCACATGTGGCCTACTAGACCCATGTGGTGAATAAATATGCTAGTGCAATGTGGACAGTGGAGGCGAATGTGGCGAGCGTCGGTTGGTGCTCTAGGCTCTGGTTTCTCAGTCTCTGTGCGATGGATTCGCAAGTGACCGACCAGGCCGATGTTTGAGGTGAATGTACGGGGACGGTGTGGACAGGAAAAGTTGGCGGTGTCAGTGTCGGTTTCAGAGATGGTGGCAGTGGCTGAGCTGTTGATGGTGGACACGTTGGGCGACGGGTTGTGCGTTGAGCTAGGCATGGTGGCTGTGCAAGTTGTGCTGAGTGTGTGGATCTTATGATGATGGGCGTGGCGGAGTGTGGGTTGAGCTAGGCGTGGCGGATGTGCATGAGGTGCTAAGTGTGTCGAGACTGCGTTCAATTCCGTTCTCGTGGATACGCATGTGACCAAGTAGGCGCCTGCAGTGAGTAACTGTGCAGGGGCAGTGTGGACAGTGGAGGCGCTCCAGGCACTGGTTCGTCCGTTTCTGTGGGATGGGTTCGCAAGTGACCGACGAGGCCAATGTGTGAGGTGAAGGTGCGGTCGCAATGTGGACAGGTATGGGTCGAGTCCACATCACTGGCGTTTTTGGTAGGAGGGTTGGTGTTTGTTGGCGTGCCAGGATTGTGTGCAGTGATGGTGGGTACAGGAGCCGCCGTAGCAGATGTTGAGACAATGGAGGAGGCGCTGCAGGTGGTACGAAGGTGTCCTACAAGTAAGATTGGTGCCCCAAACGTCCGCTGACAGCATGCGCAAGTCGGGCGTGGTTGATTGTTGACGTTGCGGGGGGGGGGGACATTGGAGATGTACGAGAATCGCGTTTGGCGGCAATAACGTGGTTAGCTTCGTAGATCGCTGCGCCTGTTTCCACTGTCTTCCTCCTGGTCGGTCAGTCCCGGGCGAAGTCTTCCCAGTTGGACGAGTCGATTTGCAGGCGCCTCAGGGAAGTCTTTATGACATCCTTGTTACGCCAGTCTTGACCTCCTTGTCGGCGGGAACCCGTGGCGGCATCTCCACGGAAGAGTCATTTTGGTAGCCGCTCGTCCATCCGCACGAGGTGGCCGCTCCAGTGCAGTCGCAGTTGTCTCAGCATAGCGTAAATGCTGAAGGTTCCGTCTGTGTCCGGAATCCGGTCCTCCTACCCCAGCTTCAATATCCGTCAGAGACAGCTGAGGCGAAAGTCGTTGAGCCTTCGTGCCTGTTTCTTGTACACCCTCCAGGTCTTCGCCTCATACAGCAGCGTCTGCAGGATAACCGCTTTGTAAATCTTCATCTTGACCTTGGTATGGAGACCCTGCCGATTCCAAACTGTGTTTCACAGACCGTCGAAGGCTTGGCTGTCTTTCGAAATCCAGTGGGCCACTTTAACGTTCATTTTGGTGTTAGGGGAGAGGGTGCAGCTCAGGTAGATAAAGTTGTCCACGACTTTCAGTTGGACGCCATTCATGTTGCGACGAAGGCAGCGTCGGGTGACGATTGATGCATGACCACTGTCTTCTCCGTGTTGATGACGAGGCCAAAGTTGTCGCAGGCGACGGTCCATACTCCTTTGCATGCTCCTTTCGAAGGCGGCGTTGAGAACGCAGTCGTCGGCGAAGAGACGTTCATGGACGGGAGTTGCGGATACACGCGACTAGAAGTGCATCCGCCGCTGATTGAAGAGTTGGCTGTCTGTCCCGGAGGCGACGCGGATCACGGGGGATTCGTCACGGTAGACGTCAATCAGAGTGGCAGAGAACATGAGACTAAGGAGGGTAGGCGCGAGGACACAGCTCTACTTCACAGCGTGGGTCACTGAGAGTGCCACCGCGACGGCTCCATTGTCCATGACACGCGCCCTTATGCCATCGTGGAGCCGACACGTCATCTGAGTGAATTGTTCGGGACAGCCAAATTTCTGCATGATTTTCCACAGTCATTCGCGATTCACCGCGTCGAATGCCTTCATCAGTTCCACGAAGGTAGAGCACAGGTAGGTCCGCATCTCCTGACACCTTCCCTGCAGTTAGCGGGCATCGAAGCTCAGGTCGGTGGTTCCACGATGACGGCGGAAGCCGCAGTGGCTTTCCGGCAGCAGACGCTGTTCCGGGTGATTGTTCGGGCAGTTGAGAAGGATGCGAGCGAAGGTTTTCCCGGCAGTTTTCAGCAAGGAGATGCCCCGATGGTTGTCACAGAGCTGACGATTACCTTTCGGCGGATAGAGGTGAACGATTGTGGTGTTCTTGGATTCCTGCGGGACTTGTCCTTGCTGCCACATCTGGAAGAGCGCCGTCAGATTATCCATGAGTTTGGGGCCACAACGCTTGTAGATCTCAGCATGGATCGCGTCCGATCCGGGGGCTTTCCCGCTAAAAAGCTGCTGCACGGTCCTGATGGTATCGTGGATAGAGGTTAGGAGGTCGAGGTCAGCGTTGGTCTTCAATTGAGGCAGTCATTATCGTCAAACCAGTCCTGGTGTTGGTGACATACACGATCGAAGACAGCCAGGGCCGTCGACTGGACTGTGTCCCGCAGTTAACACCATCGGTTTTCCACGGAGGCGTTATCGTCGGCGGTGGCGACTGAAAGGTTGGCTAGCCTTTGAGCTAGCTCATTTCTGAAATGGAGATGGTGAGCAGACAAAGACAACGGAGCAATATCTGACTTGCCTGGTGGTTGCTAACCTTGAGGTCTCCAGCGAGGCTGTAGGCGAATCCTCAGCTTGGAGATGACGAGCCGATGGTCGGTCCACCCGTCGGCACCCGGAATCGCCTTTGTCACCAACTCGTCTCGCTGGTATCGCCTCCGGACGAGGACATAGTCCAGCAGGTGCGAGTGTCGCGACCGAGGGTGCATCTCTCGCATCAGGAGGCGGAAGAAGGTGTTGGCCAGAATAAGCTAGTGTTCTGCGCAGGTTCGTAGAAGGAGCAGGTCATTGTCACTGGAGCCGTCGAGACTATGGGGACCCATCACTACTCTCCAGGCAGCATGGTCTGTGCCGACGCGGACGTTGAAGTCACGAAGGACAACCAGATTGCCTGGCTTCGGCACAGTCACCAGGAGGGCGCACTGGTCCATGTTGAACTTGTTTTTCGCCTGATCGGATCTGGTGATTGGGGGAGGGGGGGGGGGGAGCATAAACACTGATGATGGTGGCAAATTCGACTCTCAGAGGGAGCATAGGCTCACGAGGCGATCGTTGACGCCCTGCGGCAGACAAGACAATCGTCCCACGATGTCGTTTTGGGATGTCAAAGGCGACGCCAGCGTTGCGTCACGCTGCCTTGAGGTTTGCCTCTATGAGCCACCGTATGCGTGCAGATGGCAGCGTTTCTCGGCCCTTGGTTGGAGCACCTTTTCTAGCCCCTTTTCCGCGAGGGGGTAAGTAGTGCTATTCCTAATTAGGGCCGCTTAGACATCCCACTCCACTCTGAATCACGGCTTTGTTTAGTAGAGAACGACCAGAGTTAGTCTGAGCCACCTACGGGATTACGTGTCGCCCCCTCCCATAAGACTTTTTGAAGGCGGTGGGAGGGTAAGGCGAATGGAAGGAGAAAGCATTGGAATGGGGACAGAATTATCGAATGTGGGCACATGCAGGACAGGACACTCTCATCTGATTTAGTCCGCCGGTCGAGGCGGTTACTGCGAGATTTGAAAGACACTCTGAATATGGGTACGTATAAACAAACCACCAGTGTTGATGAACTAACCGGTCATTCATTTCCTCAGATGTAAGCAATATACGGTGAGCCTGTTGTGATACAGGATCGCCAAAAGCGCCTGTTTTACAGTAAACAAGTTCGCATGCAAGTCGCTACTGCGCCTTTTCTATGGGTTGGTGGTCGCTACTGTTTTAGACAGACTAGGTTATTTTTCTTGTCGTACCTGTTAACCCTGAGAGCTTGAGCATTCCTGTCAGCCTGTAGCATCCAATCGTTTCACCTGAAAAACAATTAACTTACGGTGCGCCTAGCTGCATGGCTCCTGCCGGCGTTCATATCACTAGCGCATCTGGCTGAGCCAGGTTATTTGCATGCTTGCGCAAATTGAACTTTACAACTCTTCACCACATTTTGCTGATGACGACGCTTCTAAGTTGGCACATCTACGTGAGGCCGACTAACTGTACCGTGCGCGACCGATCTCATGAAATGTTTGCCGAAATTCTGAAATGCGTTTTTGACTAGGAAGGATTAACAAGGTGGCGTTGTAATATTGATCATCATCTAACATAATCCCATAGGGCATCGAACTCGCCAGGATGTTGGCTTTTGAATGCGCTTCTTTTTTGCCTCCCACAGAAACCGTATTGGGTAAAAAAATGGCTACTTAAGTAGCGGGCATTTTTCACATTGATTTTCAATGGTCTTATATACTCAAACCTATTTTGTGGAAAACATGCACGAAAATATGTTTTTTTACTCGTTTGATAGAAAATCACGCTGTACTCACATTTTACACCTGAAAAAGTGTATATTTAGGTTTTGAAAAAATTTCCTAATTCCTGAATAATTTTGAGCCTGATTAGCCTTTACATTAGCGTCCAGCGATTTCAGTCTACGAACTGCATGCGTCCCGCGTAAGGAAAATCACATATTTTTCTGTGCATTTACAATGATGCTATCTAGATTTTATAAAATTTTGCAATAAATGCGGACTATATTGTACAATTCATGAGGAGCAGCGGTAAACGGACAGGTGCGATGCTGTATGAATAGACATTGAATGATCTTGAAAATCTCATAATTAAAAACTTTTGAAACTTAACTACACTTCTTTTTCAAGTGTGAAATATAAAGCTGACATGATTATCTATCAACCGAGTGAAAGAAACAATATGTTTATCCATGTTTTCTATAAAATATATTTGAATTTACAAGGCCATCGAAAATCCATAGGAAAAATGCATGCTACTTACAGTAGATGTGCTAACTCATGAAATGTCAACCAAATTTTCGAAATGGGTTCTCGTTTCGAAAAGATAAATTAAGTAGTGTTGTAAAACTAATCATGTTGCAGCATAAATCTATAATGATCCAGTTACCTCAGGGTGTCGGCTTTCGAAAGAACTTATTTTCGGCTGCATGCAAGATCTATACTCTGCAAAAAAATGACTACTTAGGTAGCATGCAATTTTCTCATTGATTTTCGATGCCCTTGAAAATTCAATTATATTTCATGGAGAACACGCATAAAAATATTCATTCTTTTACTTATTCGGTAGAAAATCACGTCTTCTTCTAATTTCATACTCAAAAGAAGAGTATAATTCAGTTTTAAAAAGTTTCTAATTGTGAGATTTTTTAATACCGTAAAATGGCCGTTCATGAAACGTCATGTATCTGCATTTACGAATGTGGCTTGTAAAGTTAACGATATTGCTCAAATCCACTGCTTAATTTTATGAACCTCATATGGTCTCCTCTTAACACCGTAGAGAAATGCATGGTTTTCCGTACACGGAAAATATACAGCTTGTACTTTTGAAACCTTGAATGCAAGTGTAACAGCAGGTCGGGTTCAAAATTATTCGGGAATTAGAAAAGTTTTTTAAAACCGAATTGTACTCTTCTTTTGAGTATGAAATTGGAAGAAGACGTGAGTTTCTACCGAATAAGTAGAAGAATGAATATTTTTATGCGTGTTCTCCATGAAATATAATTGAATTTTCAAGGGCATCGAAAACCAATGGGAAAATTGCATGCTACTTAAGTAGTCATTTTTTTGCAGAGTATAGATCTTGCATGCAGCCGAAAATAAGTTCTTTCGAAAGCCGACACTCTGAGGTAACTGGATCATTATAGATTTATGCTGCACCATGATTAGTTTTACAACACTACTTAATTTATCTTTTCGAAACGAGAACGCATTTCGAAAATTTGGTTGACATTTCATGAGTTAGCACATCTACTGTAAGAAGCCATTTTTTTACCCAGTACGGTTTCTGTGGGAGGTCAAAAAGAAGCGCATTCAAAAGCCGACATCGTGGCGAGTCCGATGCCCTATGGGATTATGTTAGATGATGATGATCAATATTACAACGTCACCTTGTTAATCCTTCCTAGTCAAAAACGCATTTCAGAATTTCGGCAAACATTTCATGAGATCGGTCGCGCACTGTATCTCGCTGTTTCTAGCCTGGTTGGCGGACCCTTTGTCACGCTCAACTTTGCGAGCTTTTTATAGGTGGCGACTCGAATTTTTGGTAGCAGTGCCATCTCCTAATGCTAGTTTGTATTAGTATCGGTATCTCATAAGACACCGGATTACTCCTCCTCCTCCTCCTCCTCCTCCTCCTCCTCCTCCTCCTCCTCCTGAAATTAACATTTGATGCCTTTGTTATGCTCTTTCTTACCATGTATGCGTTTTCTTCTTAAATTTTAGGTTTACGCCAAGGGCAGCATAAGCTCCATCATCCGTGTTCTGGTAGACTCGAAAGGTGTTTAGAATGAGAACACCAGGAATTTTTTGTACCCACGTTCATGCAACCGTCTCAACAACTCTTCTTTGTCTCCCGATCTTCTCCATGATCCGTCACCTTTTTATCGCGCAGCCACTACTTTCCAACTTTTTACTTTGGGCTGTGACTTCCACCCTAAATATACCCTCCTGCTGTCTGTGCCTGTAACCCATCCCCTCGTTGATTGCTTTCACACATGAATGCTCACGCCGTCAGACTGGTTAAATTTCTGCAATGTTTATGCGTAATTCCACCAGTCTTACTGTCTTAAGCTCCTTCCAGCCTGGATGTTGACGCGTTGTCTAGTAAAAGTTCCCAGTAAATATAGAGGTATCACTTGGCTGTAATGCTTAAGGCAGCTTTAGTGTTCCAGGCCAAAGTGGAGGTGGAAACACTTGTGGCAACGTAGCAGCTGTTAGGCGAGCGCAAGCAGGAATTAGTCTGAACTGGGCTTTGCAGTTCTCGGCGGACGCGAACCACCTGTCACGGGTCTCCACTTCTCGGCAGACCTGCGGCATGACAGCATGTTCCGTTGGCCGCATAGGCAGGAAACAACCCTGCCTACTTGGTGGTGCTTGCGGCGTCCGTGTTCATTTGTGATGTGGGGCAACACGCAACACAGAGGGCAGGAGCTTCCGTAGAGGGAATCTCTTTGTTGCCACCGTGTAAGCCAAACGAAACTACCAATAATACATCCGCAGATAAATATTCCTTCAAGGCTCAGCCCAGACGCTGCATAATATTGGCCATTTCCTAGCTCTTATTCGCTTCTGTACCCAACTAATATTTGGAGAAAGTAGCAGTTGCATTAGCCGCCACTGCGCCGTGCGTGGCACCGGGCTGCTGATTACTGCTGCCTACCGTAATGAGTAGCTGGTCCTTTGTGCGCCAACTGGACCTGCCTTTGCCCGCTTCCACCTCTGGCCTTCTTGGCTTTGTTTTGTTCTCAGCAAACATTGACTATGGGAAGAGCGACTATGGACTCAAGCGACTGCCCTACCTAAGTCGTAGTGCAGTGGTGATCTATCCGTCTGCCATGACCAAGCCATCCACTGGGTCTGCTGGTAAGCACTTAATTCGAAAATCATGTAAACGCATAGTATCGCGTGCCTCATGGTGACTGCAAATTTCACAGAGAACTTGAGCGCCATACAAAGGCACTAACTGGTACATCTATCGACCAGTCCGTGTCACGCAATAGGACGCCGGATCTCCTGGAGAGGTGCCAGCGGAATAGTATATTACCTAATAAAGATCCCATCTTTGGATATCTTTCCCTCGTCTCGTGGATACTGAGGTCGGTTTCTCATTCGTTTTAAATTCATGACTTGGCCGAATCTCACCTGCCACTTTTGAATAGTCCGGAAACATGCCGATCAATTCAACAGCTGCCTCCCTTGGTCATGGTACCACCGGTCCTCTAACGGACTTCTTACTAAATATCACAGTTTGTAATGACTAAGTCAAAAACGGCGTAGTATAAAACTTGTCGAGAGCTACGATCCAGGACTCATCCTCACATAATATGACGCGTTGGTGTCGGGGAGTTCCATCAGGCATTTTCATTGTAAGTGCTTTCGAGGTAGGGTGAGATTTAGCGTGTACATTTTGGACTCCGAGCTCAGACTTGCCCTGTTTTCCGACTACTTAGAATGATTCTGTTAAAGTCAAGACTGTGGTGGCATTTTGCGTCTGCTGGTCCACTTGAGACTGCATCCTTCGGTTGAAAGTCGCATCGTAGGTTAAAGAAACTCCACCTTCCCTTTTTTGTGCTCGAGTCAACCATGACAATGGTATACAAGGGAATCCGTACCGCTGTCCCTGTTGTCGTTTGACGGGAAGTTACTCATGTCAAAGCACTGGCTGTCGGCAGACCCAGCTAAATCGCACTGTCCGTGGCTTTCCGGTCTTGCAGAAGCCCGCCGAAATCGTGGCCCACCCGTCTGCACTTCTGGGCTGTCCAGCATTTCCTGGACCGTCACACCAGTATAAGCTTCGAGGATTTATGGTCGGCGGCTGCGACCCAGGTCCGAGTGCCTGATTATTTTTCAGTCCCATTCCTGGCGCCTACTGCAACACGGCGCCACGTGCGTACCACTGGCAGTCTGGTTTCTGGCCTATCACAGCTATTCAAACCGACCAATCGGCTTCAAGGCCGACTCAGACATCCTCGCTCAGGGCGCCTTGACGCATGTTCCACTGTCAGTTGCGACACCGGCTCCCGCAACGTCGGACCTTCGCCTCTTCTCTGCCCGTCAAGTTGTTTCAACCTGTTTTCAAATCAGTCTGTCCAGAATTAAGTGCTCCATCTGCTGTCGTCCAACTTCTCTTTCTATTTGTGACTGGACCTAAAGGTCGTAATGGCTAAGGTCTGACTATGGCTTTGGCTGCCGCGACAAAGGCACCAGTTAATCAGTTGCTGAGCAGAGGCAGGTCGCGTCCTCCTGAATACCGAAATTCGGGGTTCCTGTTGTCCCCCGGGATTTTTTTCCACCCTTATGAGTGGTGAAGCAAGGAGATACAACCAGAATGGGGCTG